CCAGGTTTTCAATGGTGGTCTAGCTTCAACTGACTCATGATTTCAACTTTTGAAATTTCTTAAACTCTCCACAAAACCCATTCTGGTATATTTAGATATCTTAAAATCACAGATATTTTTCACTTAATAGCACATGATTATTTTGAGATTCTAAACTTATGCAAGAATGATTAAACTATTATGATACTTGTGATATGCAGATAATGTTGTTTAGGAAAAGAATTTCATTCACGTCACACGATAAATTTATGAAATCCTATGCGATTCGATAATATTCATTGAAGAGAATTGTACTACTTAGAAGTAGAATGAATCAAAATACAAAATAAAAATGAGACATTGTCTACTTTGGCTTGATCTGCAATTGTGAATGGTTTTCAAAGGAATAACAATAATGATAAGTCTTGTTAATTCAACGCTAGATTTGTTCCTTAAGTTTTTCTAGTAACCCCCAGGCTAGAACTACACAGTGACTTGAACATGAGAGAAAGGAATTTGATTTAAGAGAGAAAATCACATAATTCCCACCCAACTCGAGTAAACAATGATCGTCGATGCAGATTACAACACGATGATGATCTCCATGTTGATTGTGAAGAAGTGAATGACCAATTAAATTCAGTGATATAGAAAATTATAAACTGGAGTGATATGAAACATAGAGGAACATGCACGTTTCTCAGTATTTGCAAAGATTTTGTAAAACTGAGAGCAAGATAAAATGAAATATAGTTTTCTAATGAATGCTGAATGAAGTTTACCTCTTTTTTCATTATTGTTGCTGGTTGATCATCCCTAAACTCCATTCCTGATATGACGGGGAACCCTTTAATATAAAACACTTACTGGGGGCACAGTTTAGAAACTCTAAGGATCAGCATTATTTATTAGTCAGATTCCATCAGGTGTGGTGGATAACCCGTCGATCCTGGCAAACCATACCGGAAATCAACGTTTCAAATCACAATTTCAAACTGTTGTGATAGTTCATATTACATATCTCAATTATCAATGTAGAGTGTTTGTATGATAAAGAAAATCAGAAATAAAAAGCGAATAATAATGAAGAGCACCTGCTGGTTTGCATAATTGTGTAGGAGTTTTTAGAGATGATGAAATTGTAAGTAAAGCTTATCGCCTCATATCTGGTCTAGAATCAATAATGTCAGCTTAATATCCAAGACATTCAACACCAAACACATGAAATGAACCTTCATTTGACTTAACGACAACTTTTTCTCAAGCAGGCTACGAAGAAAGTAGTATGTCACTGACCGTGAGATATTTTATGAAAAGCATAAAGATTGAAATCATCTGGACAATCGTCAACACTTTTAAGATCTATGACTACATTATGAACCACTTCATGAAATATGGCTGGAGAACAACTTAAACCAAATGGAAGGTAATTATATTTGAATAGACCACGAAGAGTGATAGTTGTTGTCAAATCTGATAAAAGTATATCCAGAAGAATCCGAAGAAGGAAGAACATCAAATTAGCTTCATTGCACACTTTAAAACAATAAGCTTGACTAGAAATATCTGCAGCATCACCTGTGGTGTGCGTTAGCTTCAACAAGTGAGAATTCAACGTTGAGCAATGAAATATTATCCATTCACAGCACTTAGCGTAATCGGTCACGAAATGTTCAATCAAAGCATCGGAATCTCCTTTGAAAGCTATTGAAGGCAGGTTCACTTTGTGACTTTGTAAAGTCAAATCCTTGTGTAAACTAACGAAACTGTTTACTGCGTTTGTCAACAAACGAATTATAGAACGAACCAAAAGAGGTATATAACCGCCCTTTTGTATGGAAATAGAACCATAAAGATCATGATTAGATGTGGATTATTATCATCAAAAGCTGCAGTCTTATTAAGATTTAATAACGGGGTTTGGAATCATTATTAACGAAATGAACAGTAGTTTAACATAACATCATAATCTGTCAATTTTTTTCACAATTCAAGCATTCAGTATCACACGGAAGAAATGGTATTTGGGAGTGCAGACTGACACAGGACAAATATTTATCATGTCTGTGTTCATCTTACTATATATTACACTGAAGTTGTTTGTAGGAGCTAGTGGTTATTCATACTGAGTAGCTTAGGGGATGACGCGACGATGATTGAGTATGAGTAAAGCAGTGACATATCAATTATGTGATGCAGATTCAGCTAGCTAACGAGTGACGCGTGTCATATATATCATTGCTGGCTACTAACAAACTCTGATTTTATTTTTTGTGACCCTATGGCAATATCGTAGCAACTCGCACATGATTCACATATAACATGAAAAGACTGAACACTTTTCAGTCCTAAACACTAACGAGAACATTCGAACACCTAATGCAAATGATTTTTTGTAGACTATTTTTTCAGAAATCCATGAGAATGAGACCGATTATTAGCCAAGTTCTGTTTAATAAAGTGATCAAACATTGACGCAAACACTTCAGTGTGTTTCTTTCAAATCTCTCATCTTATTACCAAGGCAACGGCAGAACAGTTACTAGTTCATCATTTGCTGTACATCTTTTTTCATTCCAACTTGAGTATCAGCTAGACCCTCTAAAATTATTGCATATTCAACACAATCATAACACATAATTAACAACAGTCTGTCAACCACTCAATAGTGAATAGTCAAATAACGAAGGATTGAGGTGTCTTGGTAAATATTAATGCCTCATTCCCACAGTTTACTTTAAAACAATGAACGACGTCAATCTCGAATGATATTTCTCAGTATTGAGACCTTAACAAGATGAACATCTACAACGGACTCATTTCTGATTTCAATGGTCACATAATCACGTATACACGATACTGATAATTGACAAGTGCAATGTTGTAACCTCTTGTGAAATTACCTATGTTTTTTTTATTGAATGAAAACAATGACATAAATACAGAAAATTATTATTTTATATTTTACCAACAAAGTGACAACAGTCATTACGTAAACAGGCATCAATGTGATATACGGTTCCATGAAACAATTTTCAATGTATTGAAATAATTAACAAAATAGAAAGTGTGTTTACTAAACTACAAAATAAGAAGAACAAAGTCAAATTAATGAAAACAATTGAGAAACTGTTTGTTGAGACTATGGATACACTCTGTTCCTTCTGTAGAACCATAGCCAAATGCCAATGCCAATGCATACAATAAGGAAAGTTATAACTAATGGTACCACGATGTACACGTATTGCAGTGATTTTCTTTTCTCAATGCCTTCAGTTGTATCTGTGGTCATGTTCTGAAATGAACGAAATAGTATAAAGATGACAAAATATCAAATATTTACCAAATGTGATTCAGTGCTTCCACTAGTCTTCTTCAATTCATTTATTAGATCAGTTTCAGTTGTTGGTCCAGTGGAAACCTTGACAATCGAACTCTTCAGAAGAAAGAAACAGTGAAAATATAATTAAACATCAAATATTTCATCATGCATTATACACCATTGTCAGTATGGATGACACAAGTGAATTCAACATTTAGTTACATAATTTACATTTGCACAATATGATCAATGAATAATGATTTAGAATATCTGATACTGATTTAACAGTCAATGGGATAAGTACACACTATCCAACAACTAACTGACGACTTGTGTTTGGGTGGTGAAATTTGTTTCCTGGATGTCACATCTTATCACAATCTATACACTATTCAACAAACTTATGACTGACGGCTTTATTGAAGCAATGCATTCAGGATACATATTTCTCAACAAGGAATCAGAAATACTTGTTCTGTACTTCAACAATGGGACTACGAACTTTCACTCATTATCGGAACATGCTACACAATTTTCAACAGATTACGCTTCATCACTCAAACTGATTTCATCTGTATTCTTCAACAGTTCACGAAGATATACGGTTTCAAATAGAACATAGGGAATCACTACACATTCTACGAGCTAAAAAATTAACATCTTTCCAGGCATTGATGTTAAACAACTGTTCTATTCATTGTTGAATATCCACATGGAAATAGAGCATCGCATTCATATGTGCTTAAATATCGTATAAGTTACTTTGATTTATGCACTTACGGTACAATAGAAATCACTACTTATTCTAAACAATGCAAATGTTCTTCCAAAAAAATCATTTCAATTTGGAATATCGTAATACTAAGAACAATCTTCGAAGTCTACCAATTGCTTACTTTATTCTGGCAACCATTTACTTTGAATTCACGATCATCCTTACCATCGCTAGTGATGCATATATTGGCTATTTCACACCAAATACACTTTGTATTCGATGTTGCTTCGCCTTGACATGCTTCACTCGAGTTGTGATTTGGACAATCTTCAGTGAAAAGAAGAAGGTGATTACAGTTCAAGTTATCAAACAAAACATAAATGAATTACAAAACATGTAACTGTAACCAAATGATGGCGATTTAGGAGTTAAATGAGTATTTGATTCTCTGAGCATTTGTCATCACATTGCTCAATCCGAAATTCAATACACCTTCAATGTCATTCACATTTCCCGAAAACATGTTCGAATTGAATAAAATTACGTTGTAAGTTGAACGATGAAGTTTGTCAGGCGAAAGTCACGGATGTCAATGATTGTTAATATTAGAAATGAAACGTGCACTCTAGACGGTTAACGAATCTCGTTAATGCCTTATGATTCAAAAATATCTCGTGTATACCATCTTTCCATAAGCAAAATGGAGTATGACATTGTTGTTTCACTCTAACTGACTATTTAGAAGCCGATGCACGAACGTCAGTCGTACTCAAAGGGAAACTTTATTTTTCATTATGTTAATTCAATCGAACAACAAAAGAAGAGAATTTCTTTGAGGAGATTTCTGACAACCTACAATGATAAAAAGATTCAAACTACGTGGCTACATTCAACAGTGAGTAGTTGTTTGGTGTAACGTCAGTTGTGACTGATGACTTGATATCGTTCAATAACTGTCTGAAATCATACATGAAATTTCCAATTTTATAAAACAAAGTTGATTGATTCAAGTATGAAAATAGTCAACTCTGATAAAATAAAGTTTGACATACCACCGAGAACTTCATATTCTACTAGCGTTCCACTTTTGATCCATTCGTGAGGAACATCTATTTTAGCCTTTCTCAATTCTAATGTGATTAATTGTACAGAAGAAGACAGTTAAAATTCTGATTTTCATTTTAGATAAAACACGTTGTTTGTTCGTTTAAGAGGCGATCAAAATAAGAAACTGCTTAATATCTGATTACAGTTACAATGGTGGTCAAATAACACCCTTATGAAATATGCTCTACATCGCTTAAGGTTCTGAAAGTGACCGATGTTCAAACGCTAAATGAAAAACGATATCGATAAAATTGCTGATTCGTTTTACTAAGGTGTCAGTGCAACATCTACACAAAAAAATATGTTTATCTCGTTACAAATTGTTTCAAAATAGTCAATATTGAGAGGCTGCAAGTTTGACTGTCTATTAGTGAATGAGTAAATAAATGAGTAGATATATCGTCTGTCTAGTATCCTCGTTCATATATTCCTGTCTGGATCGTTAACACTATACAGAAGACTTCTCCAAATATCTATCTACAAATTCGTGATGAAGACATTCACACATCTTAGTCATATTACTGAGTATGCCAAATAAGGCAAGCGTCAGCTGACGTGGATCTTGAAATTCTTTTTGATGTAGCTTAGCACAAAATGATAAAACAATACGATTCCGATTTGTTTACAACAACTCAAATCTGTTTTGCGATGAGTTTACATTATGAATTTTCATTACATGTGACACTTGAATCTTGCTTCAAGATTTCTGAACACCAAATTGACATTGAATTTTAAATACACAGTAACATTCGGACAGTGAGTTGGCCTAAATTATTCAGATTCTATTTCACACAATTTTCCTCAGCACTTCAACAACACTCACATCAATTTATTGTACAAACAAAAACAACTGAATATTGTAGACTGTCAGAGACACAAATTCGGTCACCACTATAAATTACAGAAAATCTGCACGTTGACATAATGATGATCGTGTACAAACAGAAGGTAACATCATGTTAACAGATGAATACTCATGTAAGTCAATGTAAATTAGAATGTAAATAACATTTATTACCTTTCCACAATCGATATAATTACCAAAGCTCGAACTAACATTGCCTTTCTTAAGTCCTGTAGGAATCTGAAAAGAAGTAACGGAAGTCTGATTCAAGATCTGTCAATATGCAACTACCTATATCAAAACCAACCAAAGATTGAAGTGATGTGTAGTCGTCCATATTATCTTACTCAAAGACAACTAATCACACTTACAGTAAGCATACTGATCTCTTCGCTTCCTCAAGAAATATACTCCATCTAAATTACAAAGATATTCTGACTCGCCTCAGTTAACAACCTCAATGAAGTTAGATGAACTATCTATTTATCATGGAATGAGGCTATACGTAGTAGGATGAACATCTACATCCGTCGGTAGAAGTGTGATTGTGAATAACTACAATGTCGCTGAACGTGAATTCGTTGTCCTGTTGTGGAATTGTGTTTATGTGCTTACTTATATCAATTGCCGTTCATTTCTCAACAGAATTCATTCCACAATTTGTTCTGATTGCCTCGAAACAAACAAGACGTATTGAGTTCAACGCTCATATAATTTATCATCTCTCCAGCCATTTCTAGACATCCAACATTTATTGTATTCCAAATCGATCAAGTTCTATATGGTGACATTCGGACAAATACAATCTGAGAAGCGATCAAGATTTTAACAACACCTCTCTCAAAATATTCAATTATAAACTTTCCCAACAACTGGTCTGTAGAAGTCTGAAAATGACCGTTCACGTACAGAACTCTGACACACACTATTTGTCGTTAATTGGCTCGAAGGTATCACTTCTTTGTTGTTCATTATTTTAAAAAGTGCTAGAATAAACTGTGTCATTAACGGATTATTACTAGTTTCATAAAGTCTGTATGCACAATACAAAATGTTGGTGTCCTTTTATCCCTTTCAATATATTTCGATGTGTTTGACAGTACTGATATGCATGAAATAATAGAATAATCCATTCATTTGCGCGACGTACGTTCTCATAATAGAAAAATATCTTCCCATTCGAGTGTATCAGGTACATTGCCTTGATTGTATTATCTGCAAAAAAGAAAACTACCGATATTTAGCAATTCAAGGATTAGTGTCGAGCATATCATTGCTAGATGTGACACTGTATGTGCCTACACACAGGGGGATCAGATTTTAGCCGATATTTACTGTGTTATCTCAAATGTTTTCTGTAGTCGAATTCGTTATGAAAATAATCTCGTGAATGTTGTGTAAATGTAATAGGAATGTATCCTTCATAATGAATGTCAGATGCTTAGTTTGCTTAGTTTTCATATTCAAACAATAATTCATCTAGTTTCTAATTAGATCCGATAGTTGGAGTGATATTCGAATTGGTGGAATATTTTCTACAATTCAGCTGATACAATCGACTCTAGGAGCAAATGAAATGAGTTGCTGTCTGTTAGTTTATAATCCGAGTTTTAGAACTTATTTAGTTATGTAACACATATATCAGTCGATCAAATGACTTTGACCACACTATTTGTTAAAGATGAGAAGTGAATACGCTTAGTACATATCATTTTAACGACGTCTTAATTTGAAAGAATAGAAGCTAAGAATGACCGTGTAATGAGTGAATATTTAGATGAATGAGATGTATACAGAAATGATTTTCCGATGAACACATATTCACAATCCTTTTTATAAACAGACTTCTCATCATGATCCTTTGAAACCTGTCAATGAAGATGAATCTCTGTATTCGTTTATCTACAAATGAAATATGATTATGACCTATTGTATCCAAACGTAAGTCAATTATTCTTTAAGTTTCAATCAATTATGAATCAACAATCAGTGGATTCTATGTGTATTTAGACACTGTCAGTTTTCCAAGAAGAATTCAATCACTGTAATTGAATAGAAAACATTTGAGTAATAACAATCAACGATGATGTAAAGTGTTAATAGTTCACATGTGATCAAACAACCATGGATATGGATACATACTTTTATTATCAATGTTTGTAGGACAAGACCTTCTGACAGCTAAATATTCCTCTGAAATAATGAAAGCAAAATAAATTTTTGTTCATGTATCTGTATAATGAATATTTACCTCTTTCAATAAACAAAATGTGTTTGGACACATGTTATGATGTTCCTTTCAAGATTTAAGTGAACCAATTGAAGTAAATGAGAGTCTCAATGATCCGCATTATTATTTCATCGATATGATGAACGTTTCAATCCAATCAACTGAGAGAAATATCAAACTTCTGAAAATGTTACTCCAATGACATTAAATTCAGTAATTGAATATAATGAATGGCCTTCAATTTGATATTCTAGGTGTTCTAATTCGAATCAATCATGTTGTGCCAGCCTATAATTCGTGATTGTTAGTTTATTCGATGTTTGAGGTTATGCATGAGGTCAAACTTCATGATCAAACGATTATGATAATCAAGAATGTGTTTAATATCCAGTAGTTCAAGGACAGTGAATAAGAGGGACTGAACTCTTAAGAACCAAGTAAGTGACAGGAAGAGTTGAAGGATATCAAATATAAATTGATAGTTAATGTGCTTCAATAATTCAAGCTGATTTTTCACACAACATCGCTTATCGTTGCACCTTTGATCAAATTGATTCGTTCAATCTATCAAGAAGTGTCGTATTGATGAAATATCAGTTTTATGGTAGTTCGAACAGATTGAAGAGTAGATCATTTCCACCTGAGCATTTACATCGTTTGATTCATTATTTCTACTCAATCAATTTGTGTCTGTTTTGAATTGGATCACGGTTTTATTAAACATTTTCACTTCACTGTAATGAATACGTGTTGTGAACACATTTTAGGGCATGAAATCACATAAATAAAATAATCACTGTGTACTGGTCAGCCCTGACGAATTAATCAAGTTAAATGCCAAATCATTTATGCAAAATAAAAATGAGGAAAGAAAAACATAAAACAAAATCTCATTGAATAATAGAACTCACTTCCATCCAAAATCTCATTTTCACACTGATCATTGCCTGAGAAATGATTGAAAAATTCTCCTGCACCCATGTCTCCTTCTATTATAATTCCACCTGTGTTTATCAAATGAAAACATGCAATTAGATTGATAATCTACAGTGAATGAATGAAAGACTTTGAAATTAACTGGAGACTAGAATGAATTGCATGAACTGTAATTAGTTTGCTGCAACACATCAAACGATTTACAACTTGAACAAGGAAAGACATCAGTAGATGTTTTGAATGTTAACAAGTGCCTAAAACTGATCTATTGTAGTAATGAAAGCGACATTGATTCATGGAATTGAAATGTGAATAAACAAAACTCAGTGAAAATTTTAATTCGAGGAAAATAATTCTCTTACCATCAGCATATATATAGAAACTGCTGATATTGGAACCATATAATGTAAAGGGGAATTTCAAATCTATTTTCTAGAAATATGCAAACATATGAATTAGCATCTCCGTTGCAAAGTGTAGTTCACTCACCTTCCCAGTAACCGGTTTCTCAAACGTTCCACTAACCTTTGGAGAGGGCTGGTTAAAGCGAATTAACTGAGAATATTTATAAAAATGAGACTGAATATTTGTATTGGAATCTGATTGATGACTTACATATTTATATGTCTCAGTTTCGAAAATGACTTTTCCAATATTAAGTAAATCTGATTTTCCGCAAAATTCATTACAGTCAAGAAATTCCGATGTAAATACAGCGATCGAATAGATCGCTACCAACTGACCAAATGAAAATGTATATCTGAAATGGTTCAGATGAATAAAACAATGTTATCTCATTAGATCAAATTGAAATTGATATAATACACTAAATTGTCTTAATCAAACAGTCAATACTCACATCATTTTCTTGTTTTAGACGTTGGTAGAACGTGTTGAATTTATATAGAATTTTGTCAAGTGTTTGCATGTTTCTTTCAGATTGGATGATTCAAATTGACCATTAAGATAATCGAATTTCATAAAATCATTTCATAATTATTAACCAATCGTCA